CTCGGGGCAGGGACTCGGCCTGGGAAGCAGCAGCCACTCCGAGGGGGCTCTTTGCAGCTGCCTGCACAGCCCGGGCCTGCCTCAGGCACTCAGCACTGGGTGCATGCTGTGCAGGGGCACTGGGGATGCCGCCGAGACCCTGCCCTTGCAGGGAACACATTGTTCGAGGTAGATGACCTGGGGGCTTCTGATCGCAAGGAAATCAAGCCTCGGCTCAGGTGGGCCCCCCAGGGGTGAGCATTGAGCTGTGGGAAGAAGCAGAGCAGCAGGTGGGAAGGCCCTGTGGTGTGAAGAAGGAGTTGAATCTGGGAACAGAAGGAGCCCAGGACAGCGGGAGCGTAGCCAGGGTGGGCACAGTGTGGGCAGAGATGAGTTAGGAGAGGTAGGTGATCATGCAGGAAGCTGTGAGGGAGCGGTTTGTTTTCTTCTGGGAGGCAGCTGGAGGTTCCTGGTCCTGGGGTGACGGGGCCTGATGTTTTCAAGACAGCTCTGGCCGCCGCTGGGTGAAGGATCCAGGCAGGGATGGGAGGCGGGTGCTGTGGCGTGACCCCGCCGTGGTGGTGGTGGAGGGAGGCTGGGCCTGGAGGGTTGGTAATGGAGGAGGAGGATCGGAGAATTGAGGGATGGAAGCAGGGGTGCTCCCTGTCAGATGGTGTGGGCAGGGGCTACAGCAGGGGTGAGTGGGCAGAGCAGTGCTGGGTGGCCTGGTGGGCTCTTCACTGAGATGGTGAGGGTAGGCGAGTCCCGCCAGGGCCAGACTGGCACGTGCCCTGGCAGGTGAGCCTCTGCTGGGGACATGGTGTTGCTGAGGCTTGGTGGATGGGGTGGCGTGGGGCTACCAGGCCGTGCCTTTGTGTGCAGAGGCTGGGGCACCTGACCTTTCTGAGCCTGGAGTGTGGGTGGGGGTGCTGAGGAACCTGCCTGGTGCACGCACCCACTCTGCATTGCCAGGAAGTGGAGTCTTGGGCCTGCGGCCAGGCAGGGCTGCCCTTGGACAGTGCGGGCCGGTGGTTTGGCTGCATTTTTCTTTTTCACCTGACCACTCGGCAGGTTCCCCCATGCGTGTGTGAGCCCCTCTGCCTCTCTTAGTCCCCACCTGCCTCCTTTGCAGCCCCCCGGCATGGGCACTTGCGGTCAGAGCAACAGTGAGCATTCCTTGTCTTCGCCCCTCCCTCGTGCTTTCTGATGCTCCGAAGTCGGGCGTCTCATCCTCCGCCCTGCGGACCTTTAGTGCGCCTTCGCTTTGCTGTGGCGGCACCCTGGGCATTGTAGGAAGCAGTCAGCTCCCCTGGCCTCCACCCCTAATGTTAGCAGCATCCTCACCTCATGTTCTTGGTTGTCTGTTGTGACAGCTAAGACTGTCCCTAGGCATTGTCCAGCGACCCCTGGGGGCACAGTTGTCCCAGTTGGGGAATCGCTGTTCTAGGGGTGCTTCTAGGGCTGCACACTGAGCTCTGGAGATCAGCCTCTGTGGGACCGACTTGCAGATGAGGAAACTGGGCCTTGGAAGTTTTGAAACCTGTTTGGTAACTCAGACAAGTGCAGGGCGAGGCGCAGCCCAAGGAGGGAGAGAAGCTGCTGGAGCACAGCTCCTGCCTGGGGGGCTTTGTGGCTCCTTCCACGTTGACTTCCCCTGTGGTCTCCCTCTCCCTTGGGACCTGGAGGTGTGGCCCCTGCCATGCCTGCCTTTTATTTTGAGCCGACCCTGGGGCCCTAGCCAGTTCTCGAGGGCACAGCTACCAACAGCAGGCCCTGCTGTGCCACTCCCTGCTCTGTGATGAGGCAGATTGCTCGCGGCTCCTCTGAGCCTCGGATTTCCTCTCTGGGAAATGGGCTAACGCTAGCATGTTTTCTGTGGCCTTGAAAATGCTTTGTCAGTTATTCCAGGCCCTTTACATACAGAAAGAGGAAAAGATACAGACGTGCAGTGTCCTCACGGGTCAGGAAACCGGAGCGCCTTCTTCCTCCTAGCCTAGAAATTGCTCTTCCACGCTTGTGTTTGAGTGTCCCTGAGTGGGACAGCTCCCTGGTGGCCAAGGCAGAGCTGTGGGGCATCGGGGACCCAATAGAAGTGACAGCAGCCTTGGAGCTGAGTGTGGCCGGAACCCAGCTGCCCCACGGCCCTATGCCCTGTGTTCTGCGTCCCTGGTCTGGGCAGCAGTTCTCGAAGGCAGCTGTGGATCAGGGCCCCGGGGCCTGCTCATGCCGGTTCCTGGGCTGCATCGGCCTTTGCAGTCTGCATGAAATACACGTTTTTTAGCAAATACTTGGGGGGAGGTGTCTGAGGCCGGGGCACCACTGCCCATGTTTGGAGAAGTGGGTTCAAAGCTTCCATGGCCTCCAACTATGGAATTTTTGAGGTTCCGAGAGCTGGGCGAGGGGGCACTGGTGATGCCAGGGACGGCCTGCTGGGCACAGCCCCAAGACAGTCCTCGTGTCTCCACTCGCCCTCTTCCCGAGGGAGGCTTCGGAGACCCAGCTGGGGCCCCCTTCCTCCGCTGGCCAGAGCTCCCCATCTTTCTCAGCGGGGTCCGTGCCGCTCACCGGGCCTTTGTTCCGTCAGCACCATGTGCTCAGTGCCTCCCACAGGCCTGGCCCTGGCAGGGAGCTGGGTGATGAGACAGAGCCCTCCCTCTGACAGAGCACGCTGTCCAGTGGGGGGTCGGGCAGCACAGGGAGGTGGCAGGCTGGCCTCCATGTGGGGTCCAGGGAGCCTCACCAGGACAAGGGCTCCAGGCAGAGGCGTTGGCAGGTCCCAGGCGCCCAGGTGGGGAGGATGCAAGGGATTGAGGTGCTGCGGGGTGTGGGCTGGCGCCAATGTGGAGCTGAGTGTGCGGCGGAAGCCAGGGCTCAGAGGGCCGGCTGCCCTCGTCCACTCCTCAGACGCTCGGACTGGCCCCTGCCTCCACTGTCGAGCCGCAGTGCTATTCCCGCACGGCCAGCTCTGTCTCATCATTAGGTCTCTGCAGGCATCCACTCCTTCAGGAAGCCACCTGGCCTCTTCCCCCATCTGCTGTCCACACATCGCAGCCCTCTGCTGCCTTGACTTCCCTGGAGTCCCCTCAACTCTGGTTTATGGGTTGGTGCGTTTTGGTGCCTCTCCCCATCCTAGAAGCTAAGCCCCTCGAGGGCAGGGGCTGTGTGGTCAGATCCCTGCTGCATCCTGGCTGGCAGGTAAGAAGGGCGTCACAGCTCGAGAGTCAGGATTTGAACCCAGGCCTGGCTCCATGCAAGGCTCTTGTTCCCATGAAGGATGCAGGGTGGACAGCAGAGGCTTCGAACCTGGGGTAGAGAGAGGAGGCGCCGCTGCGGGCCGTCTGGACAGGTGCTGGGGAGGGTGGGCCGTGTAGGCTGCAGGTGTGGCTACAGCAGCCACTGAAGTGGCCCCACCTGGGAAAGTGAACGGCAGTGGAGAGGGAGGCGTGGTGGAGGAACTTCCCAGATGGGGTGGGGCAGCAAGACGCCCTGGGGGCCCTCAGGCACAGGCCAGGTGTCCCTCAGGTGTCTGCTGCCCGTTGTGTGGGCAGAACGGGGCCCCCGCACCCCTGTCGTCTGGGTTTTCCTGCTTCCCCGCCGTTCTGTAGGGGCTACAGGATCCACTGAGCGCACGTGCCTTTGTGCCAGAAGCCAGGCTCCTCTCTGACCTGGAGGGGACCCTGGTTCTGGGGAGGGAGCCTGTGTTTGCAGTGGCCTACGTGTTGCCAAAATGCGCTCCAGAAAGCTGCCCAGTTCTGTCCCTGCCGAGTACAGGAAAATGCAGGGACAGATGTACTTTCCCCGGAGCCGCTTCCCTGGAGTGGGGGCCCCGCTTACAGGTGCGGAAGGAAGCTGGGGTTCCGGGTCGCTCCCTGCGGGCCTGGCCTATGTCACTCAGGCAGGCGTGCAAGGCAGGGGAGATACCGATGCCCGGCGCGCAATGCCATGCCCTGGCAGGGCCACTCCATGCCTCGGGCTCTGCAGCAGCTTCTGATGCCGCGCAGGTGGGTGTTCTGTTTCAGAGGGGAAACTGAGGCTTGGCTGCTTGCCCTGGGCCACCCAGCAGCTGGTTGGCAGAGCAGGCCCAGGCCAGGAGAGCTGCCTCCTTACCCTCTGTGTTCCCCGTGCTGAGCGCTGCACATGCTGTGTGCCTGGCTAGCCTGCAGCAGGCAGGAGGTGGTGGTGTTTCCACGATGGCCTGCCTGGGTAGGGTTAAAAGCGCAGCTCTGAGGCCGGCGGACTCCTGGCCCCTCCACCTCATCAGCTGTGGGAACTTGGCCAAGTCACCTGGCCCCATGTGTGAAATGGGCCTCACGATGGGAAGAGCAGGCCGGCGGGTGACGCGCTCATCACTGTACAGAGTGTGACATTTCCGAGGGCTGCTCAGGGCACCATCACCTCTGTGGTCACTGCCATTGCGCTCCTTTGCTCCAGCATTCACTCGGTCAGTCTCACGTCCTCACAGAGCTCTGTGGCAGGCCACAGTCTGTGCTGGCAGGGACGGAAAGAAGCCCCGTGAGGGGACGAGTGTTGGTGGGGGTGAAGGTGTGTGCAGGAGTAGAGCGTGCAGTGTCACTTGGTGGGTGTTGGGTGTCGAGGATGATCAGGGAAGGGGACAGGGCTGGACTCCAGACGTGTCCCCTGGCTCTTCACACAGGGCCCCACACTTGATCTCATGCTCCGCTGTCGTGTCTTCAAATCCTCAGATCATTTGAAAACAACCATCCAAGGTTTTCGTTTCTGCGTCAGCCCTGGGGGTGTGGGGTGCAGGGCTGGGGTGGGGAGTGCACGCTGGGAAGGGCCCTCCTGAAAAGGAGCCGTGGATGGGAGGAGGGAGCCTGGTAGGTGGTGGGAACAGCCAGCACAGAGGTCCTGAGGCTGCAGCGTCAGCCCGGAAATGATGAAAATCAAGGCTCAGTGTGGGGGGCGGCACGAACCGCGTACCCCGCCACTGCCCAGCTGTCCGCCCAGCTGTCCTCCCCGACCCCATTCCCGGCCCTGACCTGCAGTGCTTGGCCCCACAGGCTGACCCCGCACTACATCTACCCGCCAGCCATGGTGCAGCCCAGCGTGGTGATCCCGGCCGCCCCCGTCCCGTCACTGTCCTCGCCCTACATTGAGTACACGCCTGCCAGCCCGGCCTATGCCCAGTACCCACCGGCTGCCTACGACCAGTACCCATACGCCGCCTCGCCAGCTACGGCTGCCAGCTTCATGGGCTACAGCTACCCAGCCGCCATGCCCCAGGCCCTCTCGGCTGCAGCCCCCGCGGGCACCACCTTCGTGCAGTACCAGGCGCCACAGCTGCAGCCCGACAGGATGCAGTGACTGGCGTTCCTGCCCCGAGGACTGTGGCATTGTCACCTTCACAGCAGACGGAACTGCCAGGTCACAGTGGGCCGGCGGCAGCCTGGCTGAGCATCAGTGAGGTGCCACCAGCACCCGTGCCTCCAAAGACCACCCGGGCACTCTGCCTGCGCCCTGGGGCCACGGAGAGACGGCTTCTCTTTAAATCTAGGTCCCATGGTGTCTTGAGGGAGGACTTGAAGAAGAATGACCGAGAGCTATTTAAAGATGCAACCCCACGTTCCTGGCACACCACAACAGCCTCTCCTTGCACCTTCTCCTGCCTCCCCACACTCCAGGTGCCCTCAGGCTTGTGTCTCCACCGCGGTACTTGGCCGGGGTGTCACGGACCCTCTGCAGCCCCTGGCCACCCTGGACCCTGCAGAGATGCCTGACTCCAGGGAACCTGAGAGCAAGAAGTGAATGAACTGTTGATTGTAAGTTGATCCTCGCAAGCTGTGAGTGCGGTCCCAGGTGGGGGACACAGCCTCCTGCTTGAGTCCCATTTTCTCCATCAGGGCGCGTGGGCGGCTTCCTCAAGCCGGAGGAGCTTCCCAGGTGCGCAGGGGCCACTGGTGTCGGGCTGCTGGCCAAAGGCCCCTTTCAGTCAAAGCACTGAAGTCGCAACTTTTTTCTTGTAATTGTTTTGCTACTTAGGTAATTTCAGAAGTTGAGTCTATTTTTTTCAGCGGATACTGCCGCCACCAAGAATCCAAAACCTATTTTTGACTTGGAGAGACTTGCTTTTGTTGGTTCCGCCCACGGGGACAGCAGTGTTTCTGTGTAATAAAGTGTCTGCCAGCTTGCGGGCCAGGAGCCTCCAGTGGGGCAGGCACTGCAGACAGCAGGACCCACGGGCCCGCCCGGGCCAGTCTGATGCCGCCTGCTTGGGGGGCACAGTGAGTTGTCTCAGGACCCCCTCCCTGTGACACTGGTGCCCCTCCCCCCACAGCTCCCCAGCCACTATTGAAGGGAAAGGGAGTGACCCACAGCTTCAGGCCACTCAGGGTCTAGACCACAGTGGTGTCTGCTTGGTGCGGGGCCCTGAGCTCTGCCTGCTGGGTGGTTGAATGCAGGAGGGGGCACCTCTTCCCTCTCCCCCTGTACCACCTGCTGTGTGCCAGCCCAAGACCGTTCCTGCCTGTCTGGGTTAATGGAGGGAGAAGGCCGTTCTGCTAGTATGGCAGGGCTGCTCTGGGCCATCCAGGGCTGTGGGGGTCCAAGGAGGGGTGCGAGGTGAGAGGTATCCTGGCCAAGGGCGGGGGGCAGCGCGGGGGGTTCCCTCCGGACCTACCTCAGGGAGCTGAGCGTGCAGGCGCTCCAGGGCAGGCCTGGGACAGAGTCAAGGCCCAGAGAATAAAGGTAGCTAATCTCATAATAATATTTTTATTAGAATGTTCTGATGATAAAAATAAACTTGTTTTCTTTAAAGAAAAAGTCAGTCTGTAATTTTTCTCTCAAAACAGAGCTCCCCTGGTGCCTGTGGGTATCACCCATGCTCTGCCTTCTGGCTCAGGAGCCCAGAATTTCATGGGCAGCCGTGCCAGAGCGCCTGGCCTGCACCAGCTGCTGAGCCTCCACAGCAAAACAGTCGCAGCCCCTCTTCCCACCCGCTAATGCAGGGGAGGCCTGGCGTCCCGTCCGCCGCACATCATCCACTGTCAGCCTCAGACCCGGAGAGGACTGCGCTTGGGTTACTTGGAGCTGCGGTTGGGGAGGGGCCTGGATGTGGGATTGATTGGCAGCTCCACCACACAGATCCCTGTGGAATAGGACAGTTCCCCAAGAGAAGGGGAGTTGCCACCAGGGAACGCTGAGTGTGGGCTCCTGAGGGGACGATGGCAGCCGTTGGGGATGGCTGCCCTAAGCGCAGCCATAGGAAGGAAGGGAAGCCTCGCTCTGGGGCTGGAGACGCCCCGCATCTAGGACTCAGCGCTGGGGAAATCCAGGAGGTGTTAGGGCTGGTGGGGATACTAACTCCTTCCTTCGATCGCTCACTCATGGAGGCATCCCAGGAAATGGGTGCTGGGTCACACGCAGAGCGCTGGGGATAGAGCAGACAGGGCTGCCCTTTGGGGCTTATCATCTGCTGGGGGAGACACCACAATGTCACGGGGTGGAGACTGACAGGTTTCCGGGGAGGGGAGATGGAGATCCTGTAGGGGCTACACTTCTTCCCAGGCCCCTCCTTCCTGCTGTCTCAGTTTGCAAACACTCAGGGTTCAGGGAGGTCAGCATGGGGCTTCCAGCCCAGAGGAGGAGACTTACTGCAGCTGATAAGAACTTGGGGGGCCATAGAGGGGGGCTGCGGGTACTGCCAGGGTTATCGCAAAGGCCACTGGCGGCCTGCTTGCTTCCTGTCGCTATCAGCTGCTGGCAGCTTTGGGGACAGGCCTTCGGGAGGCCTCAAGGCCTTGAAAACATCTCCTGGATCCCAGGATTGAAGACTGGACGGTGATGAAGCCAGGAGAGAGAAATTCTGTCCCCTGAGCTGAGTGGGAAGCAGGGGCTGGCTGAGGACAGCGGAAAGCAGAGCATGGCCACCAGCCCCAGCCGTGAGGGTCCTACTAACCCCAGCGCTGCCCTGTGGCCACTGACTGCGCCACATGCTGTGCCACGCGCTTTCGTGGCTGGTCAGTTAACCTCCAGGTATCCCACACTGGTGGACCAACATGCTTAGGGCTGGAGCCCACTCTCCTGGGCGGCCAGGAAATGTGAGAGGGGCCTGCCTGGAGCTGAAGGCTGCAGGCCTGATGGAGGTGGCGGGGAGTGCCCAGACGTGCAGGCTCAGCCCAGCCAGACCGGCCCCGGCCTTGAGCCTTACTGTGCAAGAGGGTCGTGCATGTCCTCCCAAGGCAGGGACCTTCTCTCCTACCCACTGTGTTCCTCTGGTGCCCAGAGGGCCAGATATGCACACACACATGCATGCACAGGTATGTTTGTGTATATGTACACATTAACACACATCTCTGCCCCCATGCACACTCAGGCACACACACTGATAAATAACTGCATACACATCTACACACACGCACACATCCACAGATAAACATGTATGTGCCATACACAGACACCCCCATGGTATTGAGGGATACATGCACACAGAAACACACACTCGGACATTCTCAGACACACCATCACACTTACAGGTGTACACACCCTGGATCACACAGCACATGTTCATAGCACACAGTTACCCTTCCAAGGCACACACGGACGTGCATACACATGCGTACATGTGGAGACACACCTGCACAACCGCATATACCCACACAGAGGTATGTACGTGTGCACCCAGACACACGCACACGCGTGTTGAGTGAGTACAGGACCCACCCCCATCGTTTGGTTCCAGGCAGCAGCCATGGTTTTGAGGGTTCAGTGACTTGGGGGAGAGGGAGGTGGAGCAGGTCCAGGCCCGAGGACTCAGAGGGAGAAGGGATGGGAGGTGAGGGAGGTGCCAGGCCTGGCCACTCACCTGGCTGTGTGGCAGATCCTGGCCGCCAGCGTCCTTCGGCGCAAGGGAAGGCTTCTCACTGCCAGCCCTCCAGCCCGAGAGGGTTTTCTCTCTGGACATCGGCGTGGGCTCTGCCAGTGCACAGGCAAGCAGGAAGGCCAGGGAGCTGACACCCTGGGGCAGCCCTCAGCAGGCTGCAAGGGAGGTAGGGGATAGGCGCCCCTCCCTCGCCACCCTCGGTGGTCACTCTGGGGTGCACTGAGTCCGTGGCTGCCCCCTTCTCTTCACTCGTCCTCCATCCCCTGCTGTGCCTCCTGGGGTCACCTGAAGCCGCTGCCTTTGGGGTTTGCACACCAAGCTGGGACGGCCCAATGATGGCAGCATGGGCCGGGCACTCACTGCCCCCGGAAGTGGGGTGCCCAAGTCCTGTGAGGCCTGGATAAGCTCTTGCTTTCCCCTCTTCAAGGAGATGACAAGGCCCAGAGAGCCTCAGCAGTGCGGCCGGGGTCACCCTGCCAGCCGACTTTGCCCACAGGTCGGGCCACCTCTGAGCTGTTACCCTCCAAGCGGGCAGGACCAGGCCCGGGGAGCAGAGGCTGAGCAGGACTTCTGGGGCACATGGCTGCTGTGTGAGCCAGCTGGGGGCCGGGAGAGGCAGGCAGGATCCAGAGGGTCCTGAGACCCCATCCCGTCCCCTGGCATCTTGCTGGGGAGGGGCAGTGGGGGTGAGAGGCGCTTCCCTTAGTGATCAGAGCCCCATTTTCACCCCACTTTCTAGTTAAGCAAACTGAGGCCCAGAGAGGAAAAAGGACCTCTCGGAGACCATTGGACTGTCACTCCCTTCTGAGGGTGTAATCGCAGAGGGACTGGACTAGGACCAGCTGTGAGAGCCACAGCCACTGCGGCCCACAGGAAGAAGCCACACCATGGTGAGGTCACCTCCGTGTCAGCCCCGGTTTGCTCTGCCCGCTCTGCCCTGATGGGGGGCTTGCCTCGGGGCCATCCTCTCTGAACCTCACTTTCTCTGCTGCATGCATTGAGCTGACCCCTGGGTAGCCCTGCCGGTCCTGCCTGCCCAGCATCCACTCCTTTCCTGGGACAGCACCTGGGTTTCCTTGAGGAGCTGCCCCTGCACCACCCTCAGGCTGGGTGGTTCAAAGGAGCCACCCTCACCCTTGGCTCTGCAGCTCAGTCAGCATACTGTACTCCCCTGGACCCTGCGAATGGTTCGGGGATAGGTGTGTGAACCTGTGTGGGTCCATGGGAGTCCGCTGGAACTCCTAGGGCAGGAAAGCTGTCTGTTGAGGAAGCCAAGCTGGGAGCAGATAAGCCTGGAGCAGCTTGGGGCAGAGAGGAGTTTGTGCTTATGGAGAGACTGCCTGAGAAGGAAGCCAGCCCAGGAGAAAGGAGAGCCAAGGAAGGAGACAGGAGCAGAGATAGGGTCTTGGGGACATCTCTGGGGGCCCCTTGATCCAGCTATGCCTGAAGCTAGACCCTGGACTTTTTTTATTTGAGAGCTAATGCATTCCCCCTTTTACTTAAGCCTATTTCATTTGATTTTTTTCCTTTGCAACCAAGACTCTTGGCATATACAACCTCAAAGGGCTGGCATTACTTAGAACTAGGTTCAGTGACATGCAATAGAAAATCCAAAATTAGGGTGGTTCTTAGCTACCTATCATTTATTTATTTTTCTCACGTAAAGGAAGTCTGAAGCAGGCAGTCCAGGGCTTGGATGACAGCTCCACAGTCATCAGGGGCTTAGGCCGCTTCCATCATCTCAGTGAACCATTTCAGAGCATAGCTTCCTTTCTTAAAACCATCTCAGGGACCAAGATGGCTGCTGGAGCACCAGCCATCATGTTCGAGTCCAGGCAGCAGAAGAAAGGAAGGGGAAGGCTGGAGTATCTCAAGTTGAGACTTCTCCAGGAGCCTTCCCAGAAGTTGTACGCAACATTCCTCTTCCATTTCATTGGCCAGACATAGTCACATGGCCATACTTAACCTCAAGGGAGGGTGGGGAATGCCGGTGTTTAGCTGGTCACGTAGCTACTTGGAACACAGAAAGCCTTCTGCTAACAGGGAAGACGCAGGAATGCCTTTGCGCAGACAATGCGCAGCTTCTGCCTCAGCAGGAAGGCTCTGAGTCCATGAGAGGAACGTCCCATTCACAAGGCGCCTTACGGAGACTGGTATTGACCAAGCCTGTCTTACCTCTTTACCTTCACACCAGTGAAGAGCTGGGTCTATCCTTATGCTCATTCCACCCAGGGGGAAATTGAGGCTCAGAGTGAGCACTGAACATGGCTGAGGTCGCCTGGTTCCTTAGGGGCAGTTCCAGGAGGACGGCTCGAGCTTCTGCCGCAGTGAGCGTTGGGAGTTTGGTGAACGGTTCTCATCGGACGTGGCTGCTCACGTTCCTGCAGGACCGGAAGCCCACAGTGCCTTCGAATTTGTGGTCCTTGAGGGGGAGCTGGGGCTGGGACCACCAAGAGGTGCCCTCTGATGTGCTCCAGCGTGCTGGCTCCGTTCCTGCTCCGTAGCATCCTCCCACAAGGAGTGGAGTCATGATCCCATTTTACAGAGGGGAAGACCGGGCTCAGAGCGGGGAGGTGGCCTGGTGAGGAGGAGTAGCTGACCCATCCACGCTTCGGGCCCGGGCCGGTCTGCCTCCAAGGCCTGTGTTGTTGGCTTTGGCTATGTGGCCTCTGGAGCTTGAGTGGAACACCCTGACCAGGGCTCAGTCATGGCTAAGCCCCACCCATGCCTCCCTTGGGCTGTAGATCCCCAGCCTGGCCCGGCTGCGGGCAGAGCCAGCAAGGTGCGGTGGGAGGGGCTGGATGCTCGGGTCAACTCAGGGGATGGACGGAGTCACCATTATGTCACTTAGAAATGGGTCAATCACCAAGGTCCTGCCTCCCAGGGCTGTGACCAGGATCACAGGGGATGAGTTAGGTAAGGTGCCCTTGCAGCCCCGGTG